GCTCGGACCAAAGTACTTTCCGAGGTTGGGGTAGTCCATGTTCTGTGACTGAGTCATTAGGCTCAGAAAGCTCAAGCCGTGTGGAGGATACTGGTAATTTAACTATGATTGATGATCCGAGGGATGTTGACTGGACACCGTCCAAAAAAATAAAGATGACGTGCCAGATACGAGAGTAACGACTCATCTGTACAATACTAGGCACAAGTCCAGAAATCAATCAGCAACCAGTCCTTGAGTAAAATTGATGTTATTGAATTAAATGAAAGAAATTAATTTTGTATTTTAACAAATGAAACTTGGATGCACTTCCTAGCTGAAACGCGAGACGTTATTGTTTGTAGGTATGCGACGTTGTTCTGATATTATTAAATTTTTGTTGTGGTTGTATAAATACATATAGGAGTAAATGTGTGAAATGTGTATTGTATAAATGTAGGAGAGAATGAGAAAATTTAACAACGTGTTGCACTAATTGTTTAAATGATAAGGCGGTACTTCTACATGGGTTGAGAATGAAGGAGGGAGTAACTTAAATTCGTTTACGGGCGATAACGGACCAATGGCAACTTTTGTTAGATGGGGAGGATGATAGGGATAATATAAGGGGAAAAAGGCCAAAAAGGGCTATATTTGATTCTATAGGGACAGGTATGCGTCAAGTATTCAGAACCTTAGACTTGGAAGAATTTTATAATTTAAATGATAAAATTGGGAAATTGGCGATCATTCAAGAGGAGATAGTTTATGTTAGTTAGGAACAAGTAATTTATGTAAAAACATTACAGTACGGGTTGAAGGTTACACATTTATATATTATGGGGCTTGTAAGATTTTTTGAAAATAAAATTTACAATGCGTGCACAATCAGTGGAGTTATAAGTTAATTAAATTATACTGTAAATTTACAAAATGGGTTGTATTCATTAGTCAGAAGTATTGAGTTGATGGGATTAGAGTAATATTTATTGTTTCGTTAAAATTCCCAGATAGATCCTTTGAGTTGTTTAAAGTCTTTAACCTCCCTGTATATGATCAGAAATTAAGGGCATATGTAAGTTTCCATAGTCTGTCCCCATATCTAGCTATTACGCCAGATCGACAGCGGTATGCCACTCTGAGCGAGGAACAACTCCAGCGATGTACCCAGGGACAACAGGCACTGTGTCAACCACTATTCCCAGTGTACCTACGTGTAGAATCCAGCTGTGAAGCTCAACTGCTAGCCGAGCGGGGAACAATGATCCCAGGAGTCTGTCAGAGGAGGGTGCATCACGGACCAATGGACACTGTGTTTCACCAAGTGCCGTCGCAAGGGCTGTGGGTGTACAGCACAACAACAGCAATAACATTGACTTTTGAATGCAGAAATGAAGTGAGGCAAACAACGATCAGAATTCAAGAATTTCCTAAAATGAATGAATTATGAACATGCATTATTACGAAATCCAAGAATCATGAAAATTTCAAGAAAGTGGGAAGCTGGCACAGTAATCATTTTGTGCGTCATCGCTTGTTTGACCTGCTACTGTCGAAAGCCATTGGGAAAGGTCGTCCAGCTATTTTGGGTGATCAGCCACTGTCAAGGAGCCCAGACGGGACCACCATCATCAACTGTAGACAGCGAGGTGCCTAGCCCGACTCCAACCATGTACCGGAGAGCAATCATTCCAAGTGCAGGGGTCCGATGGAGCAGCCACGCAGGAATCAACCTCACATCCACCCTCAACCGTTCACAAGCAGCAGAAGTCCACCTGGCGAGGAGTCCTCAGCTCAAGAAGAAACCAATTTGTAGCCCCCAGAAGTATCGCCAAATCAGTGAATTCGTGTGAAAGTGCAAGTGTAGTGAGTGAAGGGCATTATTTGTGTTATTTTGCGTGCATTATGGTATTGTAGAATTTAAGTAATGTATTATGTTGTAGCCGCAGCAAAATGGTAAGCACCAAGATCAGTGCTAAACGCGTTAGTGTTGACGCGGGTGCGGTACATACGTGTGTATGTACGCGTACCGGGTTCGCTAAGTGTACATATAGCATGAGCATTTACCGAATCCCAGTTAATAAATATGAAGTAACGCTGCGGTGATATGAGAAATGTATTGATGTTGACATTAATTGTCAATTGATGATGACGGCGGGTCTCTAAGCATGTGTCTTTCCGAACCTATTGAAATTCATTGTAATCAAAATTCAAAATTGTCACGTAATAGCCACGTGCCATTCGGGGCGTTAAGAGCCACCCCAGTGACCGGACAGGCCCTAAAAGATTGCCTGTTCGTTTTGGGTAACCGCACCCTGCCAATTGAGGCTCAAGCGGTCCCTTTAGTCATGTTTATACCGTCATCAGGGTTATTTGTCTTCCTTGTCTACCTCAGGTTGTAAGCAGTATTATGCAACGGGTTGTATGTTCCTCAAGTGTTTAAGCGAAGGTTGTATTATTTAGAATTTAAGTTTGAGGGTGCTATTTTAGATATGTTGGTGTTTATGAATTAATTTGTGGAATGTTAAATGTGTAATGAAGTATATATAGTGTTTAAAAAAAAAAAAGTGTTAAAATAGGCAAAATGTCTGTATGAATGGATTATGGAGTGTGAATGCATAACGTTAGGATGTTCCATTAACTGTGGATATACCCTTTGTTGTTAATTGGTAGTTTATTTATTTTGTGAACAGCCATTAGGCACAATTCGGGAATCACGTGGTAATTGGTTTAGTCACACATTAATGTGGATACGTCAAGGGATTGTCACAATTGGGCAAAAGTAAGCATTTACACATGGTGACAGTACTACGGAGACAGCTGTAGTCTGCGGGGTGAGTGGAGGTTTTTACCCCCTCGCCATTGTTGGTCATTCATTAAATGGACCTGGTATGCAGAAGTGTTATCTTTGAAGGCCAGTAGTGTGGTCTGTGCCAAACAGCTGTTGTCGCCAATACAGATAACAGAACTCCAGCTCCAGGATTGCTTATTTACTTGTCCTTGAGGCAAATATTTCAGATAACTAGTTGCCCACAACATTCCTGATTGTGTCTGATGGTGTGAACATAGTCAACGTAGCCAGTGACGGCTGCTGTATGAGTTTTGATACATAAAGATAGTTAAAATCAATTTTAAATATGCATAAAGGTTGTCGGGGTATAGAAGCAGAAAGTGGTGTTAAATTTTGGAAATATGAAATGTTTCACCAAAGATATAATGATATGATGTAATAAGTAGGGTAGTTGTTTGGTGTGTGTGTGTGTGTGTAAAAGTATAAGGTATATATATATATAAAAAGAAAGAAATAAATTAAAAAAAATAGTAAAAGTATAAAATAAAATAAAAATATTTGTGGTAACATTGATGGGTTGTGTTGTTGAATTAATCAATTATAGTCTTGTGTTTACTTTGTGATTTAAATTGATGTATTGTATTTCTTTGTGTTTATTTTGGGAGTTTGATTTAATAGAGATGGAGTATTGGCTAATTAGTCAGGGTGTATTGTAGTTCAGATAGGATGCGCTATGTTAAGCGGGGAAGAGAAGAGATGCATTTTGTAGATGGAAAAGTTTATTAGCGTGTTATAGTGTGTTAACTGGTATTCGTATTGTTTTATGTTAAAAAAATATATTGCATTTTGCTTAATCATTTGCCAATTTTAATAACATAATTAATAACATTATCATTGTCGTGTGGTTTATTGTGTATATGTTAGGATATTTAGGTAATATTTAGCGGAGATAGTCGCTTATGAATATTTAGCGGAGATAGTCGCTTATGAAATCAAGCAAAGTATTAATTGATTTCATTTGATCATATTGGATTTGATAAGTTTTAAATTTAAATCAAAATTATGATTCATCATTTCACTGTGCATACAGTTGTAGATGTCCAACTGTTTCACTGAGGCGGCGTGTGCCACCGCAGGCGTTATCGCTGCGGGAAGCCGGTCAATGATAAGCCTGTATCTCTGTTGTGACTTTGTTGCTGTAATTTCGTATCAAATATGAATATACTTTAACCATAGAATATTTTAGATATTTGTTTTGACATTGCTATGGTGTAGCTTTAATGCTTGGACAAGCAGAGAATTCCCCTTAGAGTATCTCCTATAATTGTAAGGGCCAAGGATCATTTAACATAAACAAAACACATAGTTCTTTCAAAATTCTTTATTGTTGGTAAAAGTTAGACCACTTGAGTGTGGTCTCACTTTTAGAAAGAAGGGGCGAATGTTGTGTATCCACATGGGTTAATTTATTAGTTTACAGTTTGATTCCGTTTATATCTGGAGCAGGGAGCTCAGCCAAAAGTAGTTTTTAACTCTGAGATTTTGCAACATTATATCCAGTACCAAATGTGGTTTGAGGTAATTCTGGAAACCAGCATTTGCGTCACAACCCCCACCACCTTGAGGTTAGATATGGTCGGTCCTTGTGAACCACCAACTTACAGTCAGAGTCAGCCTAGGCGCGGCCACTAGCTGGTCATGATTCTCCCGCTGATATTAGCAGGTATGTGGTGATAGGCTAATAGGAGATTTACATTGCCCGACCCTTGGTTCAGTAGTAGGTAGCCCTCTCTCTAAATTCTACCCTTTTAATAATGGGGATTCTCTGTGATATTAGCGTAGTCATGAATTAGTAAGATATTATAACTTGTATTTTATTGCTTATCCGCTTAATAAATGAACCCAATTAACATCACGCCCGAGTATTTATTCTGGACACCCCACCCACTAGCGGATACAACATTACCTATGGACTTTTGATTATCCCGATGATGTCTAGTTCATAGTATTATTCTAACAACTTTGTTCTTTCTTAATATCCAAGTAAAATTTCCTTAAACTGGCTCATGTATTTGTTTTAATGTATAGTTTTTGAGGGCTTGGCTCATACCTATGATCAAAACTTTTAACTAATAGGGTAGGAAAACAAAACATGTACAATGGGATAACCTTTAAAGACCTATATAGTGTATTTTATAAGCCACGTGATCGGCAAATACAGTTCACTTACCCACTTCATACTCGGACTGTTTTTCTAGCTTCCGCAGCTTGTGCAACTCATCTTCAACAATCACAGTAATATCATTCCAGTAGTCAAGATTTTTGCCTTTTTCTAGTTCTTTGTAAACCTAAAAAAAATTAAGTCAATAATTGAAACTGTGAATATGCTATACACGTATGAACTTTTTAAACAGTTAAAAAATTACTTCGTGGTTTGAAGCTAAGCAATAAATGTTAAGTTAAAACAAACATATAATTTACGATTGATAGCCTAAATTGTTAAATGAGGACTTTCAACAACAATTTTATTTAGGCGAGACTACAAGACATATAGCCTAAGTGATACTGTGCCTAAGTGGCTTTGCCACCAAAGGTGCATATAAGCAGTCTCGGTATAAGATATCAAACTAAATGAAATCAAAAGTAAATACTACCATTCAGAATTCAATAGGCCGATAATTTTCTTAATAAGCTATTCTATTTTAAGATAATAAAATAAGTTAAACATTTCATTCTTCTCCACACCATTAACAATTACTGGAAATAGAGAAATACAAACCTTGATGTCCTCAATAAGGTCCTCTAGATCCTTTATCATCAGTCCGTTGAGATATGTGTAAGGTTCATGCATTTCAACCGCATCCACCTCTTCTTCAGCACTGATGTATTTAGCTAGTAGATCAATCGGTTTGGCTAAAACAAGCAAACATAGAACATTGAAAACAATTGTTTGTTTAGTGAAAGGGAAACACTTAACTTACTTGATATTTGAAGTCTCCATTTATAACAGGATATTCTAGATTTATTGCATCAGGTTTCGTCTTATTTATAAAACTGCATTTCCTCATAATCGTAGGCTATAGGGAAAAAATAGGCCTAGGGCCTACATGTTTTTTGTGAATTTCTTATTTTAACTTTGATATATCCAACTGTCTAATCTCTTATGGTAGGCTATCAAAATTTAATCGCTGATACAGGCAAGAGTTTTTGACAGTCTAAAAGGGGTGGGGGATGTCAATGTCTAATTCAGTTAAAGTGAACTTCGAGCCCGTTTGTGTAACGTGAGATCTTCAGTTTGATCTGGACTATGGCTATACACAGACAAAATACCTATTTGCTATAAAATAGGTCTACTGTGGGAAAGATGATCAGCTGAGGTACTGATACCCAGGACTTTCTTTTGTAGGAGCAGGATTTTAGAACGTGCTGGCAAGAGACTCTATAATGTCATAGGTTCAGAAAAAGTGTATGGTATTAATTAATCTAATATCTCTCACTCTCTCAGTAACAAAATATTTTAGCTTCCTTTAACAGACAGATTACTCCCGACAACTTGGTACAGGTATGGGGTCAGAAAATTACTCCGAAACATTTAGCTTAAAAGTGCAATGGATAAGTTGAGTCCTCTGCATTTAGTTGGAGTTTGATTGCTGTGATCTTTTGTGTTTGACAACAGACTGTCCATACTGTGTTGTTCCATTCTCACACAACTGCTACTTTTAGAAGGCCCTTAGAAAACTGGCGCTGCTGAAGTAACAAATAGCTTACCAAGCCTACTCGTACAAACAGAAATTGTATGAAAACACATGAAGAGACTATTTACAGGTTAACAGTAGGCCTTCAATAAAAATAACCGTACAACTCTGTGAGTATCTAGGTATCAAAACAACTTTGAAATAGGCCTACCTCTGCCGTCCTGTATCCGTATTCTGGAACGTAGTCGAGCTTGTTCTAGATGGAACTGATCTTCATGTTGTTGCCACTCCTGGAACTGTGCTGCTTCTTTGCTACGTTGCATCAAGGACATTTCTTCCTCCCTTTGCTGACGTTCTAGCTCTCGCTCCATCCTGCGTTTCTTCACCTATACAAACAAAAAATTACACACATTTCTTTACTGGCTAACGCCCACAGTGTAATTTTGAGACAATTACAGGTTTGCTGCGTTTGGGGTATTTCCTATCTTTCTGGTGATGACATGAACAATATACGCTCAAGATGGATGGAGTATAGGAGGTGGGCCAGACTAAATGATGATGTCACTGCATACCCAGTGGCGGTCTTGCCTTATGAGACATGGTTTATTGTTATTTGTTTCTGGTATGAAATCTGCTGTTAGCTTCTCTCTCTTGCTCAACATGTGCATTTGCTACTGGGTATGCAGTGAGTCATCACTCTATCTGGCCACCTCCTATAGCCTACTCCATATATCTTGTCTTAATTCTTGAAGTGAGACAAATACAATACTTAAAACTAATAGCTGGTCTAGGCCTAAACAAATCAATGGTGAAAGAAATTTAACAAGTATAATACCTTTTCCAACTCCCTACGGTTCTCTTCTTGCTTCTGTCGGTTCAGAACTTCAAGTTGTTCTTGAGTCACTCCTCTAAGCCCTTCTTTTTCAAGTTTCTTTCCCCATACAAAAGTATCTGTCAATTTTGCATCTCCAAAAGGGTTGTCAGAGTTGGTATATTTTATGTAATCATTATCCCACCCCATACGTTTTTTCTTATTATGTTCTTTGAGCTCTTTCTTGCGCAGACGGCGCATACGTTTTTCTTCTGGGGTTTCGTTAGCTTTCATGAGCTCTTTTTGCTTTTTCCTCTCTAAAATGTGTCTCTCCCTCTCTTCTTTTAGCCTCTGTAGCATTTTTACTTCAGTTGAGCCGCTTGATTCAGACGAGGATGAACTTGACGATGAGGACGAACTTGATGATGAGCTTCTTCTGAAACACATTAATTAATTTTTTAAATTCCAATGCCTAAAAAACAGCTTTTTGATAACTCTCTAGCATGGATTTGCATTATTTTGTTATACTACTTAACATACACTGAGATAGAGATAGGCCTAAAGAATTTTTAAAAGAAAATCCATGAAGTTCCGTTTTTAAATTGCAATTGTAGGCTATTTAGTGCAAAAAAAAAACCATTGAAACTTAACCTTAACCTTCATGGATATGGGACGGATAGACTAAATCCACTACATCAATTTTTATGGACTAAATGAAAGTTTTAGTGTTTCAGGCTTTACGGATATATTCGCATAATGCTTTTTTTTACATAGAAGTAGAGGAGGAAGTGGATATTTCTGCCAACTGTGTCTAGTAGAATTGTGCCATTATTGCAGTGCTTTCTTGCACTCTTCAGGAGTACTGTTAAATGCATGTGGCATGCCGCCCTTCCCATGCAAAGTTTGTATGTGTATTTTAGAACATAAGTTTACCATGTAGGCCTAATGTTTTGTTTTAAATTAAATGTACACAGTAATCAAGGTGGGGCCTATCTACATTTTATTCTTTACATACAACCTATTGTTGTTCTAAACCTTTAGAAGATGGGATGTGGATAGGCGTGACCATTTAATTGGGTACCTACTTTCCTGTTAAAGGGAACATTCATTATTATCGATGATTTTCTCTCTCGATATATCAATGTTTTTGTATTCCTTTACAATCAAGCATTTTCTTTTGATAACAGAAAAGGCATGTGGAGAATATCAAACGGAATTTTGAAATGGTATGGTATAGCAAGTTTGGTTAGTTATGCAAGGTTAGTTTAAAGAACAGTTTAATTTCAATATAGCCTATAGGTCTAATATTGTTTTTAGGCTATTGTTTGTTGATACCGGTACTGAACAATATTTTTTTTCTTAAGTTATCATAGTTGATAGCTGATATGTTTCAATACTGATTGATAGGCCTATATCGGATCAAAAAATAAAATATCGATATATCAAAAAAAATCATCGATGATAATGAATGTTCCCTTTAACAGGAAAGTATCTACGGTACCTTTAATTATTTACACGCTGAGTGAGTAGTTTTTTAGAAGTTATTTAGAGTATTAATGAATTTAAAAAAAATATAGAAATGAAAACTAGGCTAAGCCATTAGACTCGCCCATCTGAGGTTGGTTATGCTAAGTATTTTAACAAGCAAAAGCAATCATTGATTTAACAATAAGTTAAGTTAAATTTAGGCCTAAACAAGCATACCAATAAGTTAAGAAATTAAATTTAAGTTACCTTACCTTTTCTTTGACTTGCTATGTTTCTTGGAAGAACTTGACGAGCGATGTCTGTTCTTGTCATCTTGTTTGGAACTTTTCTTTTTTTTATGTCGTTCATCATCACTGTTCGAGTCATCAGATCTCTGATGTCTGGATTTTGAAGAATGTTTGCTTCTTTGGCTCTGGTGTTTACTTTTAGATGATTTCCTGGGTACAAAAATAATAACAGACTCAAAATTTATCTACCTGTGTAGGCCTATTAGATAAGAGTCAGACATTTATAATTTTCGCTCGTAGCCTAGACGCACCTATTCTCAATAGCTAAGCATACCCCATGTAACTTTGGGGCCGTCCACAACGCTCAAGGAGGGGGAAGGGGTTCAGCTTAGCGGTGTGAGAAAGGGGGAAGGAGTTTCCAAGATCGTCACAGTAACGCACTTAAAATAATTTTTTTAAGTACCAGAATCATAAAATCAACTTATTTATGAAACCGTTTTTTTGTGAAAAAAAATATTTGGAATACCAGATCAGTTTTAAAATTTTCATTTGTTTATTAGGCACTGTAAATCCAGCTACTGTAGATCCCTTATCAACCGACCTCGAAATAACAAATAATCAAATTATTCTCCCTTGATCGTAAAATATTAGTTTGTTTTAACCAACCTTGCTTTGAGAGCAGTTCGGTGTAACCGTCGCTTTCTAGAAATCTTGGCATTTCCGCTCCCATTTTGGCGATGGGAACCATATCTTATGCTTTTTTCCACAGGATGTGACTAAGTTAATTTGTATTCATCCCACAAAATTTATATTTATCAAAAAAGCTGCTATTTTTGTATTATAATCTAGAATATCTTAAATCTTATTGCTTGGGTAAACGAGCAACACAACTTGTAGGGATGGCAGGGGAGGACGGTACTACTGCAAGGTCAAGATAGTTTTTGTGACCGGAGTAACAAAAGTATTTGACTTAACCGTGTTTTGTGTTTATTTACACATAATTTTTCAGTCAATAAAAAAAGGAGATAAGAGTAGTTTATTTAATTATTAATGCAAGTAGCCTACGACTTCAAAATAACAGCATGGCTTTAGGACTGGCCGCTCAACATCTTCTGCTCTCTTGACCCTGACCAGCTTTAATAGCAGAAGTAGCCACTACAACCACGGAAAACGTAGAGCTAATGACTTGAACATGCGTCGCTGCCATCTAACACAAAAGAGCTACCCGCACTCTGCTTTAATTTCAACACCTTGCCCTAAAGAGTCAGACACCTATACCTGAAAGCTTTCAAATCGACCCTGGGCAATTCTCTCTTGCAAAGGCCACTCTATAGTGTGCAAGAGTTGGTGGAGGAACCTCTCACGCGGGATGAAATTTCCGCCACAGCCTTAGTAACTTAAGTATTTAAGTTAATGTATTGTAAATAGGCTATATGTTAAATTTAAGTAGGTACTATTAAATTTGATGCTATCTATCCATAATCACAGTCAAAGATAAAGAAGACAAGTATCAAGTAAGTAAGTAAGTAGGTCTATAGGCTAGTTAAAACTACGGTATTGCTCTTTAGTCAACCTTATCTGAACCATTGAGTGGGTTCAAAATGAAAGGATGATGAAGGAAATGAAAGATGAAAGGAATAAGGAGGTAGGCTACAGTTTCTTAACTGGGCTACAGGCCTACTAGCATAGATTAAAACTAATGATTCGTTTAGTAAACCTTCATTTGATTTTTTCACTCAGCAAATATGGATTGGTGTGAACCTGGCAATAACTTAGCTATAAGTAGTGTGCGCGCCATATAAAATCTATTACTGGCCGTTTTGCAGAAAAATACAGCCGAGTAGATTATTACCGATGATGTCACCTGATAGAGGACACATTAACGGACACAACAGTATCAATATCATGAACCTGAGGACTAACTTAGGGGGGGTAAATGCAAAAATAAATAGTGCGCACGCCTTATAAAATCTATTGCTGGCCGTTTTGCGGAAAAATACAGCCGAGTAGGTTACTACCGATAGTGCCACCTGATAGACCTACATTAACGGACACTACAGTATCAATATCATGTACCTGGAGACTACGTTAGGGGGGTAAATGTAGCAATAAGTAGTGTGCGCGCCTTATAAAATCGATTGTAAAAAATACAGCCAAGTGGCATTTACCCCCCTAACTTAGTCCCCAGGTACATGAGATTGATACTGTAGTTTCCGTTAATGTATCCTCTATCAGGTGGCACTATCGGTAGTAACATACTCGGCTGTATTTTTCCGAAAAACGGCCAACAATAGATTTTATAAGGCGTGCGCACTACTTATTGTTGCATTTACCCCCCAAAACTTAGTCCCCAGGTAGGCCTACATGATATTGATACTGTTGTGTCCGTTAATGTGTCCTCTATCAGGTGACATTTATTGGTAATAGGCTAACCTAAAGTTACTCGGCCGTATTTTTCTGCAAAACGGCCAGCAATAGATTTTATAAGGCACTACTTATTGCTGAGTTATTGCTAGGCCTAGGTTCACACAAGTCAAGTTTGGAAAGTTAGGTTAGGTTATGACAGTTTCATTTTATAATTAAACTTAGGCTTAATATAACTTAACTAAAAAATATTAGCATAGCCCAGTTAAGAAACTGTACCCAAATAAGGTTCAAGCAAAGCAAAAAGAAGAAGGCTAAACACTTAGCCTAGGTCCTACTTTGTTGGAAACACTCTTTAAGCCCCAGGCCTGGGCAAACCAACAAAATAAATGTTTTAGACTGTTGTAATTATGCTAATGCGCTTCAGATCTTACCAACTCATTTAGAGATATAGTGTTACCAAAGTTAAAAGAATATGAATGGTGTTCTTACACTGTCTTTCAGTTAGGCTAGGCCTATTTATAAATGTCTGAAGTAGGAAGGTAAAAGGTAGAAGGTTGCTTACCTATCGTAATCCATGAAGCTTACTAATATTCTACAGTAAATATTTGTTCAAGGAATACATTCAATCCAACATTATATGTAAATAAAACCAATAATTACATCACAAACAAAAATAAAAAGTATTCACAGTGGAATTAATTAACCTTAACAACAACAACTGGATGTTTTCATCATAACCAAAACGTTGAGGTCGAGGTGACAGCCTGACTATTTTTGTCGTATTGGCATATTGCCGATGTGGTAGTCTGGGTTTTTTTACCCATGAGACTACAACGTTCTCTGTGGTTGTCCATTTTTAAGAGATAATAATATAGGGTGGGTTCCATAATATCGACAACCGTAGAAATTGATCGAAACTGAATTATTCCCAGTTTGTCGACACTGGAATATTCCCACTTAACCAACATCCCAAATAACCGACGTCGCAAATGATCGACACCACAAATTGTCGACATCCCATATTGTCGACAATGAAATAGTTTCACTTTGTCGACACTGAAATAGTCCCAGTATATCGACAAGCTCCCGTTCTTCGGAGCTACTCTTGAAAAGGAGTTGTTCTAATTCATCATCATCGTTCAGTTCCTCAACTCACGAGTCGCAATGATTCCGAATTCCGATGGACATCTACCTTTATTGACTAAAAACTTTTATATTGTAAATATTTATCTTGTTTATTTCTTTCCTTGTTTACAAGAAAATAGATGACTCGTAACATGTTAAAATGTAACGTGTTAAAATGTAACATTTTAAAATGTAACATGCTTAAATGTAACGTGTTAAAATGTAACATATTAAAATGTAACATGTAAAAATGTAACATGTAAAATTGTAACCTTTTAAAATGTAACATGCTTAAAGGTAACTTGTTAAAATGTAACATATTAAAAACGTTATGAGTACTGGTATGAGTAAAAGTTTTTATGTCAGCTTGGTGGTTGAGTGATTATAGTACTGCTGTAATCAGAAGGTAGCTGGTTTGATTCTATGTTACTTTGTTTGTATTACCTGTCACTAGTTTGGTATTACTAATTTAATTAATCTTTGTCACAGGTGTACGAGGCTGCTGGGCTGGCCAAAGCTGACAGTTTTATCCGACAGTTCCCTGATGGCTACAGTACCATTCTGGGGGAGAGAGGAGTTACCGTGTCTGGGGGCCAGAAACAGAGGATAGCTATCGCCCGCGCTCTACTGAAAATCCCATCCATCCTCATACTAGACGAGGCTACCAGGTCAGTTGCAAGGGAAAGACTTGATCATAAAAAATGTTAAAATGTAACATGTAAATATGTAAAATGTAAAAATGTAGACGACGACGACGACGACGACGACGACGACGACGACGACGACGACGACGACGACGACGACGACGACGACGACGACGACGACGACGACGACGACGACGACGACGACGACGACGACGACGACGACGACGACGACGACGACGACGACGACGACGACGACGATGCTGACAGTTTTATCCGACAGTTCCCTGATGGCTACAGTACCATTCTGGGGGAGAGAGGAGTTACCGTGTCTGGGGGCCAGAAACAGAGGATAGCTATCGCCCGCGCTCTACTGAAAATCCCATCCATCCTCATACTAGAAGAGGCTACCAGGTCAGTTGCAAGGGAAAGACTTGATCGTAAAACATGTTAAAATGTAACATGTAAAAATGTAACATGTGGAAATATAAGAAGTTAAAATGTAACATGTTAAAATGTAACGTGTTAAAATGTAACATTTTAAAATGTAACATGCTTAAATGTAACGTGTTAAAATGTAACATATTAAAATGTAACATGTAAAAATGTAACATGTAAAATTGTAACCTTTTAAAATGTAACATGCTTAAAGGTAACTTGTTAAAATGTAACATATTAAAAACGTTATGAGTACTGGTATGAGTAAAAGTTTTTATGTCAGCTTGGTGGTTGAGTGATTATAGTACTGCTGTAATCAGAAGGTAGCTGGTTTGATTCTATGTTACTTTGTTTGTATTACCTGTCACTAGTTTGGTATTACTAATTTAATTAATCTTTGTCACAGGTGTACGAGGCTGCTGGGCTGGCCAATGCTGACAGTTTTATCCGACAGTTCCCTGATGGCTACAGTACCATTCTGGGGGAGAGAGGAGTTACCGTGTCTGGGGGCCAGAAACAGAGGATAGCTATCGCCCGCGCTCTACTGAAAATCCCATCCATCCTCATACTAGACGAGGCTACCAGGTCAGTTGCAAGGGAAAGACTTGATCATAAAAAATGTTAAAATGTAACATGTAAATATGTAAAATGTTAAAATGTAGACGACGACGACGACGACGACGACGACGACGACGACGACGACGACGGTTTTTATGTCAGCTTGGTTGAGTGATTATAGTACTGCTGTACTCGCCTTGTAATCAGAAGGTAGCTGGTTTGATTCTATGTTACTTTGTTTGTATTACCTGTCACTAGTTTGGTATTACTAATTTAATTAATCTTTGTCACAGGTGTACGAGGCTGCTGGGCTGGCCAATGCTGACAGTTTTATCCGACAGTTCCCTGATGGCTACAGTACCATTCTGGGGGAGAGAGGAGTTACCGTGTCTGGGGGCCAGAAACAGAGGATAGCTATCGCCCGCGCTTTACTGAAAATCCCATCCATCCTCATACTAGAAGAGGCTACCAGGTCAGTTGCAAGGGAAAGACTTGATCGTAAAACATGTTAAAATGTAACATGTAAAAATGTAACATGTGGAAATATAAGAAGTTAAAATGTAACATGTTAAAATGTAACGTGTTAAAATGTAACATTTTAAAATGTAACATGCTTAAATGTAACGTGTTAAAATGTAACATATTAAAATGTAACATGTAAAAATGTAACATGTAAAATTGTAACCTTTTAAAATGTAACATGCTTAAAGGTAACTTGTTAAAATGTAACATATTAAAAACGTTATGAGTACTGGTATGAGTAAAAGTTTTTATGTCAGCTTGGTGGTTGAGTGATTATAGTACTGCTGTAATCAGAAGGTAGCTGGTTTGATTCTATTTTACTTTGTTTGTATTACCTGTCACTAGTTTGGTATTACTAATTTAATTAATCTTTGTCACAGGTGTACGAGGCTGCTGGGCTGGCCAATGCTGACAGTTTTATCCGACAGTTCCCTGATGGCTACAGTACCATTCTGGGGGAGAGAGGAGTTACCGTGTCTGGGGGCCAGAAACAGAGGATAGCTATCGCTCGCGCTCTACTGAAAATCCCATCCATCCTCATACTAGACGAGGCTACCAGGTCAGTTGCAAGGGAAAGACTTGATCATAAAAAATGTTAAAATGTAACATGTAAATATGTAAAATGTAAAAATGTAGACGACGACGACGACGACGACGACGACGACGACGATGACGACGACGACGACGACGACGACGACGACGACGACGACGACGACGACGACGACGACGACGACGACGACGACGACGACGACGACGACGACGACGACGACGACGACGACGACGACGACGACGACGACGACGACGACGACGACGACGACGACGACGACGACGACGACGACGACGATGCTGACAGTTTTATCCGACAGTTCCCTGATGGCTACAGTACCATTCTGGGGGAGAGAGGAGTTACCGTGTCTGGGGGCCAGAAACAGAGGATAGCTATCGCCCGCGCTCTACTGAAAATCCCATCCATCCTCATACTAGAAGAGGCTACCAGGTCAGTTGCAAGGGAAAGACTTGATCGTAAAACATGTTAAAATGTAACATGTAAAAATGTAACATGTGGAAATATAAGAAGTTAAAATGTAACATGTTAAAATGTAACGTGTTAAAATGTAACATTTTAAAATGTAACATGCTTAAATGTAACGTGTTAAAATGTAACATATTAAAATGTAACATGTAAAAATGTAACATGTAAAATTGTAACCTTTTAAAATGTAACATGCTTAAAGGTAACTTGTTAAAATGTAACATATTAAAAACGTTATGAGTACTGGTATGAGTAAAAGTTTTTATGTCAGCTTGGTGGTTGAGTGATTATAGTACTGCTGTAATCAGAAGGTAGCTGGTTTGATTCTATGTTACTTTGTTTGTATTACCTGTCACTAGTTTGGTATTACTAATTTAATTAATCTTTGTCACAGGTGTACGAGGCTGCTGGGCTGGCCAATGCTGACAGTTTTATCCGACAGTTCCCTGATGGCTACAGTACCATTCTGGGGGAGAGAGGAGTTACCGTGTCTGGGGGCCAGAAACAGAGGATAGCTATCGCCCGCGCTCTACTGAAAATCCCATCCATCCTCATACTAGACGAGGCTACCAGGTCAGTTGCAAGGGAAAGACTTGATCATAAAAAATGTTAAAATGTAACATGTAAATATGTAAAATGTAAAAATGTAGACGACGACGACGACGACGACGACGACGACGACGACGACGACGACGACGACGACGACGACGACGACGACGACGACGGTTTTTATGTCAGCTTGGTTGAGTGATTATAGTACTGCTGTACTCGCCTTGTAATCAGAAGGTAGCTGGTTTGATTCTATGTTACTTTGTTTGTATTACCTGTCACTAGTTTGGTATTACTAATTTAATTAATCTTTGTCACAGGTGTACGAGGCTGCTGGGCTGGCCAATGCTGACAGTTTTATCCGACAGTTCCCTGATGGCTACAGTACCATTCTGGGGGAGAGAGGAGTTACCGTGTCTGGGGGCCAGAAACAGAGGATAGCTATCGCCCGCGCTCTACTGAAAATCCCATCCATCCTCATACTAGAAGAGGCTACCAGGTCAGTTGCAAGGGAAAGACTTGATCGTAAAACATGTTAAAATGTAACATGTAAAAATGTAACATGTGGAAATATAAGAAGTTAAAATGTAACATGTTAAAATGTAACATGTAAAAATGTAACATGTGGAAATATAAGAAGTTAAAATGTAACATGTTAAAATGTAACGTGTTAAAATGTAACATTTTAAAATGTAACATGCTTAAATGTAACGTGTTAAAATGTAACATATTAAAATGTAACATGTAAAAATGTAACATGTAAAATTGTAACCTTTTAAAATGTAACATGCTTAAAGGTAACTTGTTAAAATGTAACATATTAAAAACGTTATGAGTACTGGTATGAGTAAAAGTTTTTATGTCAGCTTGGTGGTTGAGTG